AAAGATAAAGATGAAGTCCACTTCATTTACTAATATCATCTCTCCCTTTTTTTAAAATCTGGAAGGAGATTGGTACTTTTTATTGCTTTGGAAATGACCTATTCTTTTAAATTGCCTCCAGATCTACCATTAACTGTCCAGAGAGGCCATTTGGTGCTGCTAAAGTGATGCATAGACTAATGAAGACATTAAAAATGGGGAATTTTTTTTTAATTCTCAAATTTTGGAATTTTTCTGTTCCATCTGCAGTCAGTAGGTACTTTCTCTTCCTTCACAGAATCAAAAAGGACTGCATGAATAACTATGAAGGGGAGGAGGCTGACATCTCCGTGTCTGTCTGACCATTAACAGGAGTGCCTGATCAAGCAGGAGTAGCGATTGAACTAGATGGTTTTGATGAGCTTGAGCAGTAATTGGCAAATTAAGTACAATAAGATTTAATATAGAGTAACAATAAAATAACCACAACACTGAAAACTACCGCTAAATATAAAAACTAAAGAATTGAGATGTAATTTACAGAACAGAGCAAAATGAAGTAAGACAGTAAAGAATTTTAGTAGAACAATGAGAGAGTAGCAATATTATTCATAAGCATCTCCAGGAGCATGACTCACACAGTCTACAAGAACTACATTGCCATGAATTTCCATAAATTACTAGATTTGTATTGTTTAAAGATGAAAAATAAAGCTTTCCAAAGTTATGTTGGTAAATGTAGACGTATTTCACAACATTACTAGCTATATGTACGATGTTCCCAAAGATTTAAAGAACCCCAAAGTCTAGAAAACAAATAAAGATGGAAAACCTGCTTCTGTAATTTACTGCAGAAATAAACTACAATAGGGCCAGAGTCATTATTCTTCATCACGACTGCAACCACATGAAAACTGTATTCACTTACTAATGCATTTCTTGAATGTAAATTCTTTGTTGTTGCAGCATGGTTACATTTTAGCTTGCTTTCATTTAGCTTCAGAAAAACAAACGAAAATTGGTGGTTTATATTTATGTGCCACATTTCTATGAGGAAAAGTTCTTATCAAAATAAAGGAATTTATATATATTTACATCTGTAATTTTTGAAAAATGCGTCTGTGCATACACGCATACATTAAGTCTGTGAACTTTCCGAATGCCTTCTGTCTTTCGCTGTCTGTGTCCCAGACCGTCGTGTTTCTCCTGTTGCAGTAAGGAAGGATAATCTAAGAGTAACAGAGCCTGGATATCCTGGGAGATCCCAGTTCTATTCCTTCTCCATCTACAGCTCCCCCAAGAATTTGGGCAAGTACAGTGGCCTTTCTTGTTTTGCCTGCTCTGCCTGCTCCCAAGCCTAGACTCACCACCTACCAATGCTCCAGACGTAGACACCTTAGCAGGGTATACTGTCCCTCACATGGTCTGAATGAAAAAGGTCATCTTGAAGATGCCTCTGCCACTCACATTCACTTTTGCTGTCCAAAGAACAATATAAACATTTGAAGCATAAAGAAAAGCCAGATTCCCATGGAGAAAAGGATAGGAAAAGACAGAAAATAATAGCTGTGGATCTACAAGTGTTTACCTGCACTGTAGCCTCCTTTGGCAACTGCAAGGAATCCTTCCTAGAACAGTGTAAGAAATTCAGGCACTTGAGCAGTAATGACCCCATCTGTGTACCTAAGCTGGATAATATCTATGTCCTAACTTTTCAAGCTTACTTGAATATAAAAAGTGTTGCTCCTTTCAGAATTTAGGCGTCAAAGCTATTGTGCATACGCTTAGTTTCAACAGTCATGGAAAAAGCCTCTGAAAACACAAGGGATATTATCAGCCTGACCAAGGACTACAGTTCAATGTGTTTCTAACGGATGAATAACCTTTTTACTCTATGGAGAATATGTTGAAGGTGGTCAGAGGACCAGCCATGGTTTCTGGTAAAGCAGCTATGCCAACTTGCAACTGCCTTTGTTTGTTTCAGGTCCTTCTCTTTTATCTCCTTTATTTTCACTTCTTCTATTTGCCCACTAATCTTTCCCTCAAGGTCTTGACTGTCCCATGAGTTGCATTTCTTTTTCTTCCCACATCTTTTATCTTCATCTGTTGATTTATATAACTGGTTTGTATAACAGATTGCTGCACTTGCTTTTCAGTGATCAAGTGTAATCTCTGAAGCCATGGGAGACCAAAAATCCCAGTAAACTCTGTTCATTTAAAAAAAAAAAAAGCCGCCTTCCTTGCATATACTTACAAGGTGAAAAATAGAATACCATATAGCCCTACAATAGACAAAGCTAAAAGTTGAATAGTATCGCCCTCTCAAAAAGGGCCCATTAATGAAATGAAACCCAAAGACTTGAATACACTGAGGGGCAGTAGAACTACTGAATGTGAATATGAAAAATATGAAATGTTGTAAAAGCAAAGCAGCAGGAGGCCTAGCAGGCAAAATACAAGTGGTAGGATTAATACTAAAATAGGTGTTGGAGTAACTGCAAAAAGACAAGAAGAGCTTAAGGGACACAGGACTAAGTGGTAAATTAATATATACAAATTTCCCTACTTAAGGGAACAAGAAATCCCTTTCCAATACTGGATGAAAATAAGCCATTTTGACTCAGTGTTTTGTAAAGATCTTTTTTACCCTTAGAGAAATGCAAACAGGGAAATTTAAACCTAAAACATTGCTCAGCCTAAGAGAATTGAGTTCTGGGTGAATGGATGGATGGGTACAGATAATGTATTATTCAGAATATTATCAACTTGATTTTTTGCTGAGGAGGAAATAAATACTTTTGGTTGAGCTGGAACGCTGATGTATTTGCCGAGACTGTTTCTGACTTAGAAATAAATCAAGTGAAATAATTTGGCCATGGTAAATATGCTAATAACTGTCTGTACAAATTTGATAAAATTCTTCTATGCTGCCAGTGTTTTCATTTATAACTAATGTGACTATGATGACTGGAAAATGAGTATGTGAACTAGGTAAACAAGAGGTGTAGAAAACATGCTCAAGGAGGTGGCTCTTCAGAGTACTTTCCTCAGGGATACTTCCAGATGCTGCACTACCCTGCTTTTGCCAGGCTGTGTAAGAGTAAATAGCAGATTTAAAAACAAAAATATTCACTGCACTTCTTGATTTCCTTCTAAGGCTTATGATTTTCAGTAATTGTTTCAATGTTACTAAGACACAAACCTAGCACAAAAAACAAGCTTTGTGTTTGATCCAGGGCTTCTGGGACAGGGCAATTCAGGGCATTTCATCTTTGTTCCTGGAGATCAAATTTAGCCCAGAGTGACTTTATGTGAACTGTTGCAGACAAAAGGTATGCCTTGTTTATCTGAACCAACCTTACTCTGGCTAGCCTGACTGCCAAGGGCAAGGTAATAAGTTCAGAAATCCTGCCCGGATCTCACTGTGAACACTTGGGCTGTTGGCCTTTGTTGGCATTGGCTCTGTGACAGTAGCATCATTGGAGCAGTACCTGAGCTAATTTCAGGTTAAATGGACCGCATTTAATATTTTTCACTACACAGTAGTCAAGATATAAATATTCACTAGGAAAAAACTTTCAAGTATTAAAAAAAATCATCTGATATATTTGACTTAACTCCTGTTTAGTGGTGCCAGGTGTAATCCATAATACTATTTTTTTACTGATACACAGAGCAAGAATTATTTATGTAAACTCTTGAAATGTGCAAATAGTTTTAAATCATCAGTGCTTTTTAGAATTCATATATTTGTAGCAAACCATGGGCAGCAGAGAAAAGACTGTCAAAATTCATTTAATACATTACTCATTGAGGATTATTTGACCTTCTGAATATGAATAAAGAAATAAACAGGTTTTCATTAACAACATGAAACAAAACAGGATACACAGATGAACTATTTCTGCTTGCAAGCATATTTCTGTCATAAAATATCACCTCATTTGTAATTAATCTATAATATAATTTCAGTTGGAAGTCTATATCTGTGTACATAGCACAACACACAGATCTATCTTCAATAAACATCACTAAAGTCCTAGTTGCAGTTACACTGCGTGTACAGTTTTGTTCAATGGAAAGCAATAGGGTGCAAAGTCTGGCTGGGACTCAGATGGCAAAGCTTGATTACAGATTTAATTTTCATTTCTTTCCTTCCTTTTTTTTTTTACTCTGTATATTACAAATCTTTGACTGATAGGAATTACAGTGGTAGCCTTACCTTTAGGCTTGGCAGAATATTTAAGCAACAAACACTACAAATGGTATTTTAGCAGGAGATTTTGCGAGACAGGATTTAATAAAGAACTAATGACGTATTTTCTCATTTCGAAAATCATGCCTTTGATCATGGCTGTCCACTACTTCTGATGCATTTTCCCTGGTCTTAGCCTTCAAAATCTGTCTATCTGTTACTCCACCAAGATATCATTAAGGTCTTTGAAAATGGTGTCCTCCCTGCCATTCTTCTTTATCAATTTCCACCTTCTCTCTTTTCTGTCCACGTGTCTCTCATATGCTGAGATTTCTGAATTTACTTTAATAATTTCTTTATGGTGGAAATCATTCACTTCTTGAATCTCTCATATGTATGTGTTTCCATGAATAACTAAATACAGTAATCATAGAATGGTTTGGGTTGGAAGGCACCTTAAAGATCAACAAGTTCCAACTCCCCTGCCATGGGCAGGGACATCTCCCTCTAAACCAGGTTGGTTAAAGGCCTATCCAATGTATAAATTAAAGGGATAAAAAAAAAGATGGCCTGATGAAGTCATATGTATTCTTAAATGATAGTTCAAATAACCCAGGAATACTGAAATTGCAAAGAACAAAATGAATGTATAGATTGGAAGATCGCTAACTATAAGGATAAGGACTGTTAATGAAAGGGTGGCTTGAACCATTGCTAACAAAGAAAATGGCCATGCTAATACAGTTTGTTGTGCTGCCTGTCATGTTTTCATTCATGTAGACTAATGGGCATGCTGTCACAAATTTGCATTGACACTGGAGAACAGATTTGAGAACCATCAGAAGTGGGCAGACAGAGGACTCAGGAAATGGAAATATATGGTTGATTTTCTTGCTCTGAAAATATCATCAAGGTAAACCGTGGTGCCGCTATGCTGCCACTTTTTCTTGTTTGCAGATATAAGATGTAAAGATGATTGTTCTGAATTCACAGAAGGCTGCCTGCATGAGACAGGCTGCAATGTCCTATCAGTTATCACAGAATAATTATGTCTTGTAAAAACAGATAAGTAAAATGTCTACTTTAAAATGCTCTTAAAAAGTCATATAACACCCCTCAATAGTAACTGAGGGATACACACCTAAGAAATGCAATTATATCCAGGAAACTTTACATAAAACATGATCAAAACTAAATAAAACAGATATAACTATGAAAAGCACATTCAATGCATAATTTCATCACCTCACTCTGGAAAATTTCTGAAATGAAAAGTTTTTAAAATCTAATTCACACTTGTCAAATTTCAAGGACCTTCCAAAGCTGTAAGAAAAGCCCCAAAATGAAATTAATGAAACTCCTATGTGAAATTCAACATAAACTAGGATATGAACTTATTTTAGCTTCTAATTAATGTATTTCTCCATTTCTGTTCCTTTCTGATAGCTGAGGCTATTCTCTGACTCCTGTTTCCGTCATTCTTGCTCCATTAAATAACTGTCTTTCAGCATTGTTCATTCACTTAGAGCTGAGGACATAAAGCTGAAAAAACTTTACGTTAAGAAAATAGAATCCATCTTCAGTACTTCTGACTCTTACTTTACAAAGAGTAGGTTCCTTGGCCACGCTTAAAACCTTCCTGAAAGTCTTCGAAGAGCCTTGCAGATGTTATTTTTCAAAATGTAAAAAAACCCAAAAAGTGACATCCTGAAGAGCCAAGCTACAAGCATGTTTACTGTATTATGAGGACCACATCTCAGCTGTGAGGATTTGTCTGAGATTTACTAGGTTGCAGTTCTTGTTTTTTTTCTTTTCTTAGAATATTTCATTGCTACGAGGGCTTGAACAACCGGGGAGCTGCAGCCCCACAGCTTTATTTACATAAAGTGATATAGAGGAGTAAGATCTTGAGTTTGCTTCTCATTTTGGAAAGGAAATTAGGATACTTCGTTCTTTCCTCTCTACCTTCTCAGCATTGCACAACTGTTTGACTGATCACAAGAGGACTAGTTATGCACTGGCTTGTCTCCGTGGTCACAGGAAAAGAGGAAGGAATAAGCAGTCTTCCTCTGCAGCATATGGGTCAGATAGACTCATAACGCAGATGCCTAGGGGAACTCAAGCACTGCACCTAATTGCTCTTCTGGAAAGCCATGGTGGTTGACAAGGGAGGGTTCAGCCAGAGGCGTGATGCAGCAGCCTTTGTAACAAGTTCCCTGTAACTATGCATGCCAAGTATCAGAGTACATCCAATTCATGCCATGAAGACTCTTCCAAATACAAGTCTATGCCTTGGGGGCATGATCTAGCTCTATATATTTATTTCTCTAAAACTATATTATAAACATGAAAGTTTCCTTATCCTGACCAGCCACTCTAATTCAGCCCTGACTGGCACTTGTACTCTGAGTTCTCATGTGAACAGATAACTGGAAAATGCAAACTGTGCTTAGAGAAAGAACCAAAAGAAGGTAAAATGAAACCCTTTTCCAAGAGCCTCCATGAAGTGACTCGAATACAGAGACATTCATCATCTTCCGCAAAGAGAGAGAGAGGGAGTGCTTGCCTAGTGCAGTGCAGCCTCATGTGGATTGCCCCAAGCTAGCCCTAGGCTAACAATATATCTACATAGTACAGAAATACTGTGAACCCAAAATCAGCCTTGTCAGACCGATGCTCAGGCTTATAAGCACAGCCAGTTTGTGAAGCTAGTTTGCTAAGATGCTGTGCTGTGGCTTGACTGCTTCTGGTACTGAGGCTGGCCTGTTCAGAATGGATAAGTGATGAATCTGACTTTATTTCATGGTATAAACTCCCCCTTGTCATTCACACCTAGTTTTGATGAGGACTCATATTCCCTGAACACTATCCATTTATTTCAAATACTACCAAGACCTCTTGATGATGGTGAGAAGGAAATTAATAATCAGTGCATCTCTATGCTTCAGGATTTGGAGGAGGAGAGAAATTAGCAAGCAAGCTGTAAACAGTTTAGCTTAAGTATCAGAAAGAGGCTTGTCAAGCACTGCAGATCACTGCATGGGCTCACTTAGAGGTCAGGTGCTCTGCAGTCTGTAGCACAAAGGCAAACGAGGTTCACGCACATGAGCTACTTGGTCTCCCTCAGCGTGGCTCTGTACTCTCCAGTTGAGGTAATGCCCCAAAGATGAAACTCCTGAGAGCAGGAAGCCACCCAACACTGCCTCTCCACCATGAGAACCACATACACAAATCACAACCTACTCTTAAAATCTCTGCCAGTTTGTTCCCACTGAGGATCCGGGAACGTAACAGAAAATATTGTAGTGGATTAAGGAGGTGGGGATCAAATGGCCATAAACTCACAACATCCTGTTTCATGCCACAGTTAGTGAAGCATTCATTGTTCTTGGTATTTTTCTTGACATGTAGAATATAATCAGTTTTCTATGTTGTGATAGGATAGGAAATACCAGTCTCTGAGAGCAGCAGCATGTAATGGCCCGGTTTTGATCTCATTTTTGATTGTCTTCTTTTTCTATCCTCTCGTACAAACTTGACCTGGAAAAAAATATGTACTCTTCTATAACACAGACACCTGACACCATCATTTGCTTTTTAAAATTTCTGCCTTGAAGAATTTTAATTTCTTTGTAGAGTAAGTGCAGTTTGTCCATGATTTTTACTCTATAGACTATGTATGCATTAGTTTAGGACTAAATCCACAAAGGAGCCTACATCCCAGCTGACTCTCCATTCTGCATGCTATATCGATCCCCTCTTTCCCCTTATGCAAAATCTCGATGTTAGCAAACACATTGAGGTGTGGGTCTTTGTGGCCTCACGTTGCAGTGTTATTTAGCCTGCAGGCTATAGCTTACCCTCAAGCTGCGGTATGAAATGGTGTCTCGCGGTACCTCCTGCTGCATTAGTTCACTTCTCATGACATGGTGAAATTGTGCCAAGGACAGACTCTGAGCTCCACTCTTCACAGACGTAAAAGTCACACAGGAAAATGAAGGCCAGTTCCTTCCTAATCCAGGGGTCACTGGACCTTCAATGAGGGTTTGCCACTCAAGGGACCCTGACACTTAGGGTAGAGCTGGATCAGCTCCAACAAAGAAAAAGTGCAGAGACATACGGGTCTGTACAGAGAGAAAGGGCTTACAGGTACTTCCTTGATGGCTTCCTTCTTCTAGAGATACAGAAAACTCAGCATCAGTCTCATTCCTCCCAGACTATTGCCAGCCTGAGCGTGAGGAAAATCTGTAGAAGTGAGCTTGTGGCTGCCATCACTGCATGATGGTCATGGTCAGTGGCAGCTAATCTTAGCTTGACAAACAGCTGCAATTCTTATAACTTTCATCTGGCTTTCTGAAGAATTGTACAGATTTTTCTGAAAGTAATTAAAATAATAATTATATTATAAAAACACTTTAAAAGATAATCTCCTCTTCAATTTCCTTTAATATTTTCTGGGGAATTACTATGGGTAACATAGAAAATAGGTAATTAAATTTCATTTCTATTACCATTTTGACAGCCTGAACTCTTTCACAGGGTGACAGATTTAATTTCTCACACATGGCTTATATTGTTTTAAAATGGAATAATAAGTGGCATGATACTGTTTCTTGCTGTGGCATCTAAACCATTATTTAGCAATATATCTGAAGTATTTCTTCTGAACTGATAGCCATTAAAATTTTTAAAGCAGAACCTCAGCAGGGATAGATTGATACGGTATCACTGGAATCAGTTGTGCTGTGCTTATTCACACAAGCTCAGGATTTAACCTGTAGTATTGTTATCACCATTTTTTCCTCTTACCAAATTTTAGCATATTTTTCGTATTGATGGTCTTGAACAAGGCATGGAAAAAACCCTGTGAATTCATTATAAATTCAACCCTGCAACCCAGTGGGCTACACAAGGTGTGTCATTGTCAATTTGTGCTGAAGACAATGGTAGCAGAAGGTGCTCTTCCTCTTTCCAGCAGCACTCAGCAACTCACACGATTTAGGTTGCAGGAGCAAGCTTTGTTTACATAGCTGCCAAGGACATACTTACAGCTAATTCCAGAGACACCAATGTTAGAATAAGCCAGAGCAAGGAAAAGGGGGATAGCTCTCATGAATTCCTCTTTCTAACACTAATTTGAAGGCTAATCAGTGTTACATAATACTGCTACTTTCTGTTCAAAATCAAGTAGTTTAATTCACCTCTGAAATAACAGGCCTGTATTAAAATCCTCAACTGTGGATATAAATACTTGCTTTCTGTACAAGCTAATAGCTTTTCTGCATGCAACGGTAGAAGAAGTTTAAGAAGGTCATAATTTCCTACAAGCTGTATTAAGAGAGGGTCACTTGGAGGTGCCGCGCATCCCAAAATGAGTTGCAAAAGTGCATGGGAATCCCTTGATAATGGCATTGCCTTTTGTGCTTCCATGATGCTGAATTTTAGTTCTGTTTCCAGAAAGGAAGTTTCTGTCCCATTTGTTATAAAATAGATATGAAAATACAGGTTAACACAGAGCAGAATATCTGATAGCTAATTTGAAAGGGAGCAACCTGCTACAGCAGAAAACAGGTAAAGTCTAAAATAATTATATAGACTTAATAAATGAGTAAATTCAACCCTTTACACTTGTTTTGCATTCTTTGGAACCATTCTACCAAAAGCTTTTTGCCTCAGTTCCTGAAAAGAATTTTGTGATAACACAATACAGACTTCAGCTTTTTGTTTATGGGACAGACAAGTTTATTTGCATACTAACCCAACCCTGCTAAGGTGAAGTAAAAGAGCTATAATTTCTAACCCCTTAATTATTTCAGACACAGTGCCTGCAGCACTGGGAACTGTATTTCTGTACCCTGCATCCATTCCTCTTGCAACCTTTAAGACACACCTCACAAAGACCATATAGCAATGCTAAGTAAAGCAGAAATGAGGGCCAGATGATGTTCTGCTGAAGCTGTTGCAATCTTTTCTCAACCTGGTAAAGTAAAAGGCAGTAGGTAAAGAGGTTACAGGTAGGGAAGCAGCTGAAAGGATGATATATCAAATGGGAGAATAACACTGTGCGGTTGGTTACAAAATTAAGGTATTTATCTCCTCTATAAAATAGTAATAACATCCATTGTCTGTGCTTAACTGTATCGTTGAGAATTTGCCTTATGCGAGAAACTGCCTGTTCCTTCCTCAATAGAAGGTAAGAAAATTATTTAATATTTGATCAGAATTAGTGCAGCATTTTGGAAAATTTTGCATAGTCAGCGTCGACAAGGTGAGAAACATTTTGGGTGATGCTGGCAGAAATTAAGGAAGCAATTACTACAGAATGTAGAGTGAATGTAGAAATATTCCAGAACATGTAATTGCAACACTGGCCCTCTGGCATTTTAAAGATCCCTGACACACTTGCATAAAATCTACTGGAAGGGAATGAAAATTTGTACAAATTAATAGTTAGCTTCATTTTGGAGATCAAATCAATCTCCAGCAGCATTGGTAGGTTAATCAACGCTATCTTACTAAAACTAAACCAGTTCTTGCCAGCAAGAGCCTCTTCTGCCCACACAGGGGCTCAACCTTGCCTGTGGCAAATTCGACATGGATCTAATCAGGTTTTTTAGCTCATAGTAACATATTTACTTTGGCCACTTTGGCCTGAGGTTGTGCAGATGTCAAGTAAAAACAGCCATTTCCAAAACAGAAGAATTGCAACAGAACTTCTTGACTATCTCAGCTTGTCTCAGACAGCAGTGTTGCCTAGCTGGCTTCAGTTTACCACTGCTGAGTTTTGGTGGATTTGTAGAGGGCTTTTCTTGTAACTGGCAGAGCATGTCACATTTATAATAAGCATCTAGTACTAGAGGAGTTGGTGCTGAATGGCAAAAAAAAATTTTGAAAGAAAAATGGGGATAAAATGCATAAATGATGAAATAGAAATGCAATATCTTTGTCCTTTTATATTTGCTGGGTTTTAAGAATGTATCTAGCCTAAACTATGATGAAGTTCCACTCTGAACTATTATTAAGAAGTCCAGAATACAAAAAAAATGCTAATTATAAGCTAAATTTTATAAAACAAATGTAAAGTAGACATTTACCTTGAAAAGTCTGTAGTCAGAGACCAGAGTACCTACCAGAAGTTCATGACTTCCTTTCTTCAGAGCATTCAAACCCCAGGAACACATCTACAGGAAAGCAGAGTGAAAAATTCAAGCACACAGTGAATCAATAGGAAGTAGGCAAGAAATGGCTGTGAAGTAACTAGGAGATAAGTGGATTAATCTCTCACAAAATTGGCAAGGTTTTCTTCTACTTGAGCTTTACTAGCTGAAATTTGAACTGAACATGGAGTCTCCTGTGGGGTGTTTAACCTTCTGCAATTCCATTTATCTCAGGGCAGAAGAAGAAGAAGAAACATTCAGTTTCTTCTAAAGAAAAATTAGTAGCCCAGAAGATTAGCTACATGCTTCCATGATTCATTAATTGTGGAGGAAGCTATGTCAGTCTGATATTTAACTGATTTTTAAACATTATTATTATTTTTAAATACTGTCAAAGTAAACCTCAAACCAAAAAGGTCATTTGAATAGAGCAAGCAAAACCTAGGAAATATCAGAATGAAACATGGACTTTTAATATGATTTTGTTGTTGTGTTTTGTGATTTTGTTTTATTCCTAAAGGAATAATGTGATAAAATCAAAGCAAAATCACAAAGGGTTACAATATGCATGAATCTATGTTTTGAATGTAAACTTTGACCCCATATTAGAAACCACAGTAGCTGTAACAGTAACTAGTGCACAAAGTTATCACCACAGTTAAGAGCAAGTCTCTCTGACCAGTGTGACCGAGGAAGATCACATACACATTCATACATTGAAGCCTGACACACACTATACCCAGAGTCCTTACTTTGAGGTGCCTATTCACCTCCTCTGGTTAACTGGTTGGAGCATGGATAGCAATCAGACATTGCTCTTTTTTTCATCCCTCACAGATGTCCCAGTCCATTGAGGAGAAAAGTATTATACTCTTCTAAGCAACAAGTGCCTTTTGCTGAACAGAGGGTCTTTTCTTCCTTCCAAGCTCATAGGACAATAAAGCTACAAAGCACAATCTGGATTTTTTTGTGAAAGCAATGCAAGATACAGAGGAAAGAATTTACAGTGATTTTACACTCAGACCTTCTTTGTTTCTTTTTCTTTTTTTTTCTTTAAATTTGATGTGAAGTTCCTAGGAAATTATGTGCTTATGTTAATGTAACATTAAGGTTGATAAATCAAGTTCTCAAATGTCATGAAATGCAGAAGTCAGGCTGTAGGCTCAACCTTTACTCTGGCTCTTTGCCTCTTTCTTAAAATACAGTCTGTCTCTATGTTGTTATAAATTATTACTCAGACTATGTAGGAGTCAGTATAACACAAACTGGAATTTCCTACAAGGCTTTATAAATAGTAAACTCATGACAGAAAATGCTGTGCAGCTGGACTATATAAGGAAAGAAGCATTTACTCACAAATGCTTCCGTATGTTCTGTTTCAGTTTGGCATGATCATCTCTCTGTGTTGATCATCTCTCTGCCATTATTCATGCAAGGAGATTTTGGTTATCACAGGTATTGTGGAGATGCTGTTCCTCACAGTGACACTGATATTCATGTGCAAATGAAAGAATTCATGCGTGAACACAAGTATTCATTTTTTCCTGCCAATGCTGCTGGATACTGAAGATAAGCCTTCCTGGCCTCAAAGGATAGAAGGCGAACACTTTGGAAGTAAAAAATTCTTTAAGACCTCCTGCTTTCTAGATAGTCCTGACTGAACAGCTATCAGCAGTAGCAGGTCAGGAGTCTGTGCAAGCTTGAATTTGTCTAGGATCCCCCTTACAGCCACAGTAAACACCGATTCTGTGATGGCAACCATCAAGTGTGGGCAAGGAAGACAAGACTGATCAATATTCACCTTATGGCCCCTTCTTTAGGCACCAGTCACTTCACATGCATCTGTCTTAGTCCTTCACTGAGTAAAGCCCTTTAAGATCACCAGAGGAGGTATATGTTAAGGCAACTTCCCTGTCCAACCATCCAGGAACCACTATGACAGTCACACTTACAGCACCTGAGCTGGGACAGAAGCCCCTTTGCAGCTACACCATGCTGGGCATCATGGGCTCCTGCTGTGTCTGTAATTGTCCAGCCAGCTGGCTGATGCCACAGGTCCCCGTGCCCTTTTTTATGCAAGAGGTCAGCAGTTCTTGGCCTCTTGCCTGGGGCTCCTACCAAGCAGAGCTCAATCTGGCACTACAGTTTGCACACTGAGCTACCTGGACTGAATGTCTTCCCCAACGTATTTTATAAATAGGGTGTTTCATAGGCACATGTACAGCACTTTCATAAAAGGGTGGCATCTAAGGTTCCACCTTCTGTCAGAACCCCAGCCCAACATCCAAACTGTTTTAACCATAAACAGCATTGGTCCACTGATACAATGCCTCATTGTAGACAGGGTGAGCTATAACCCTTAACTTCTCTCTCCCACCAGGAGCTCCCTGTGTCCAAGAAGCCCCATTCCTGCCCTGCACCCAGGTCAATCCATTCACAGCAACGTTACGCCTTGGTGGAAAATTTCCCTTATGTCTGAAACACAGACAGAAAGAAGAAAGAGAGGATGATTGCTTGTAGCAATCAGGTCTGTTTTGAACATAAACTGTCGGAAGATAAAGAGAATTTGAGAAGGCTGTGCTTTTATCTCTCAGCATGTGAAAGAATATAGTATGAACGCTATCCTGGATATACCACATCTAAATATGAATGCACCATGTTAGAAAGAAGTCGACTGGTCAAGGTTGTTACCCTGGATAACATCTAATGAGATTTATCAGACTTCCAACAGCAATTTTCATCACACAGCTAAGCATGGTATTATTATATCTGTGATTGAGAACTCTAGAAATTTTGATAGCTTTCAGTCAGATACTTATCTCTGGACACAAAGAGAAATTTTACAATTGTACCACTGCAAAGTTGTCCAGTTTTAAATAAATTATTTCAGCTTTAGTCAAAGATGTGTTTTGTACTGCTTTAAAACAAGTACTTGCTTCGTGCACATTTCTGACTGGTCTCAGATTACTCTTTGGGAATTATTCTTACATACTGTGCATGAAGATGTGTACTTCCCTTGAGGATGTATTCAAGGTAAAATCTTACTCTAAGTGACATGTTTGCATTTGTATTGGAAAGTAGGAGAGGTAAAGACACCTTCAGGTGTTTGGTGGAGGTCACAAAGGCTGTTCCAGAATGGAAGCAGGGTATCACTCTGGACCAGCCAGGGTGAGACAAAGTGAAGAACTGGTCACCATCACACACTGGTGAAAGGAATGAAAGCCTAATCACTGTGAGAGGAAAGGATGCTTCACTACAGAATTTAAGTGTCACAAATTACTTTGTGCTCTACTGTGTGCAGTGAGGACAAGCTCTCCACCAAGACTCAATGTTTTGGCTACCTTTCACCATAGTCTTCATTTTGAGCATTACCCATGGCATGATTTAATCTAGTGTGAACAATTTTTGGCAAATCAATTTTTTTACATATAATTTTTTGATATATAATAATGTTATGTTTAAGTTCCTTCCATTAAATGCTATTCTTTGCACCTTAAATTATTTCAGATAGTTTCCTTTAACGTTAACTGGAATTAAAATTTACATTGTAATATATTGCAAATTACATCTGTTGGACCAACTTTTCCCTCCAAGAATTATACTTCCTACAAGTCATATAACCTCATAATTTTGTGAAATTATTATACAATGTTGTTCCCAAGCAAAATAAATGTATTCAGTTTTCCTACAGGCAGTGGCATTAAATAACAGTTACACAGCTCAGTCCTCTCCTGCTAAATTCAATGGTTAAACTCCTACTGACTTCGTGGGAGCAGGATTTTATTTACTGTAACATTCACAGAAATTAAGGGTTAGCTTCTAAAAGTAGGGAAAGTTTGGCCACATAAGCCTCCAAACACCTAGATATTTAAAATATATCTCTTGCTGCTACTTATACATCCATACACTTTCAGTATCCCTTTCACATGCTTTTATTTATTGCACAGAAATGTTTGTGAATACAGTCAAAACAACTGGAATAATTAATGCTTATTTTTAGGGGCAATTGCTAATTCCTTCCAATAGAAAGTAGAAATTTACCTATTTCCCTTTCTCCAGACAAGAAAAACAATCTTTTGAAGGTTAGCTGCCAAAATAAAATCTAGAGAGGGGCTTTTGCACATTTAACCACACCTACACACAAACTTATAGCTCCCTTATCCAGCACCCTCCCTAGATCCACAGGTGTCTAAATTCCCTAATATCTTAAGCAATATTCTATGTTCTTGTGCCAAAAAAAAATGTTTCCAGACATATGATATCTAGTGTGCCTTTTTTTTCCTGAGATTATTGCCCGTTCCAGCCATGCCCCCAGCTTTCCCTGGTCAGGTCTGCCATTCCTCACTCCAAGGAATGAGCACTTCGAGAAGTAGCTTTACACAGAGGAGCACCTCACTAAGGAAATACTTAAGTCCTGACCCATGCTGAGAGGTTGAGGAAATTCTCACTCTCTAAATTACTTTAAACCCTTTTCAAGAAAGAGACTTCCATCAAAAGAGTGCCTCCAGGCTAATCCTTCCAGGTGTCCAGAGGACAGAGATACTGAACATAGGCAGAACATTTCAGGAGACTCTAACCTTTCAGACTGCATAAACTACTCATTTCTACAGAAATCCCAAGAGACAACACACCTCCACAGCATGACGCACTCCCTATTTTTTCAGGCTTTGAGGAAAGGGATGGTCATTTATTGCAGGCTCAAATGAACAGTAAATATCAATATTTCCTGCCTGACTCAGCTGCCCTATTTAGTGTATTGATCTGCCTATCTTCCAATTCCTATTCCTGCACACCAAGGGAGGAAAAATAAGCAGTTATTTATGGCAGTTCACCCCAACCCTCGTCCCAGGGGCACAACTAGAATTCTTTTTCTTCCGCTTTCTTTGCAGGGGTACAAAATGCAAGTCACATTGTCACTTGCTACAGTCTGCTCAATGTTTAATAAAATATGAATGTAGAAATCTGGAAATGTTACTGAAAAAGGCACATGTAACTGAAAAAGTTACCTGCAGTCCTCCATGTCCCAGTACTTCTACCTATACTGCCAGATGAGGAAGACCACACAACTCTCCTTCATCACAGCTGTAGCCTGCCCTGGTTGGTAGCAGTTACAAAAGAAGTGCAATCTCTTATCCCACCATGATTATCATTTACAGGAATGATGTCAGGAAAAGCCTAAAAATCAACCAACCAACTGAAGAAAAAAAACCAAAAACCCAAAAGATAATTCCTTTTTTTAGATTAAGATTAGATAATAATATTACTTTACTCTCTTAGAATCTGAATTCTTTGTTACAACTGAGTAAACTGTAATACATGTTTTTAAATGTCTGAAATTCCTTCTGCATCCAAACCAATATAAAATAATGCTAATAATTTTTTTGTAATACTAGAAGAAGTACCCAAGGCAATAAAATGCTATGAAAGGATGCTTTCCTTATCAAATTTCATAAAAACTTGAAGGCTTAGTAGATTCCAGTTCTTTTTTCAATAGATATTTAGATAAAATGAGGAAAAGAGTAATTTTTCGTACTTTTGGGTACAGCTTTTTCTTAGAATGCTTGGAATCTTTCATAGTACACCAGATAAGAATTCTTGCCCTAAAAAAAATGCAGTAGCTTTGTAACTAAATAATGTTACCCCTCTGGTCAGAAAAATTCACTGCAGAAATTGTACTCAGTCATGAAAAGAAAAATTAGAGAGAAAAATTATCCCCTTTAACAATATTTTATACTAGTTCTGTTCCAAAATTTTTAGCCAACACAAGGGAAGAAGCATAAAACAGACATGAAACAATAACAAAACCCTATGCATTATAATTAAAATAATAGAATCATGGAATGGAAAGAGTTGGAAGACAGAGGTGAGGCTGACAGGTCAATAGTTCCCAGAGTCCTCCTTTCTACCCTTTTTGAAGGGTATAATATTTCCCCTTCTCCACTTACCTTGGACTTAA